GAGTCTACTGTATAACAATGCACATTGAATCACAGACGAGATATAGAAGAGACCTAACATGACCGACGGGGTATAAGAATAGACCTTTCATCGCAGAGCGCCACCTGGCAGCGAATTTCTGAACTAGATTAAGAAGGTCTGGAATTGGTTCAAATTTCCGCCACCAGATGACCACCGAAATTTTGACAAAATCAGGAATTTTTCCAAAAAATGGTGGCGGTAGTTGGAACTAATTCTAGAACGTTTACAAAAAGCGCGAGAAATTGAAATAAACTGACATGTGGCGCCATCCGTTGACTTGAACACGCTCAAACGGTCATTCCGTTCTCAAATTAATCTAGTTTCCTTCAAAATTTATTTTCCATTTCCTTAAATCACCTCTCGTTCGTTTGCAAGTACTTCCTTCCTTTCCCCGTAATTAAATTGTCTTCGAACAATCGTCAGAGGAAGGTCTGAGAGATCCACGCACGTCGGGTACATCTAGATAACTTTTATTAACCAATATAATCGTATATCGTTACAAATGACGGCGGCGACGGTCGCGTCGCCGCCCCAACGGATTACAATGAAACGGCGTGTTTAAACGTTATACAATAAAAAATTCGGGAATCGATGAATGAGCGAATTCACACGAGTTTATTACTTCTTATATATCCTTTTTTTTTTTTCATTTTTTTTTCTTACGGTTCGTAAATCGTCGCTACTCGACTATCAGAAAGAACTTGCTTAGACGACAACATGTAAATTTGTGGAGAGTTTTTAATCCCTGTGTCCTGCATCGTCCTGAACGCCGTCCACCCCGAAGATTCCGGTTCACTCGGATCCCGCGTTTATCCGCGGGACATCCTGCTACTCCCCCGTCCCGTGTACAATCGTGATCCAAATCTGACCGAGCCGTGAGTAATGTCGGTTGTGCGCGCGTATTGTGTGATGTGTACAAACTGTAATTATGCTCGAAGACATCGAAAACTCACTACGTAATGTTAAATGACGAACATGCGTCGCGGATTTGCCGTGGATACAATAAAAGAAATAAAAAAAAAACGCTTTCTTATTTCCGTCCCTCGTCACTCGAGATAATCGCGCGTAGTATCGTTGTTTACGTTCGTCCGTCTCGATTCGAACATCGCGCGTAATTATAAACCTTCTCGGCCACGAAGTATACATTCGAAACATTGGTTAGACGCTAGAACGACTGGATTCAACGAACTGTGTTCCATCAATCCGATTTCCGGCAAATCCGCGACTCATTGGTTAGGCTTACCGCTACTATCGAGATACTGATGTACATATACAAGAACCGTGATCCTGCTCGTTCCCTAGAACACCGGCAGAAGTATTACAAAGACGTTGTTTGCCGAATAAAAACGAACCACGTCCGCACGCGCACCGTTCCTCAGCCTCTCTCACTCATCCACGTGGATGCACACTCGTTCTTGTGAAATACACGTGGAAGTGTAACTTGCATTTTTTCGTTTTATCACACTCTCTATCTTTATGTATCATCCTATCATGCTCGTACTTTCAACGATCGGCAAGGTATTCCCTTGTAAATTGCTTACGCGTACTTTCCTCGTTCCGCCATTTTCTCCCCTTTCGGCTGCTAGCTTTTGTGCTGCGGCTTTCGGTTGGTCCTATGTGGCAGTGCCTCTGTTAAGTAAGGTCTTGTTTCGAACGAAATAAGGTGGCTGCGTGTTACGCACCAACCCCTTTCGTTCGTTTGTTTTTTTTTTTTCTCGCCCTTAGACGCGCGCAAATTATTCGCGACGTTTGTACAAAAGGACCCGAACGGAAGGAATGTCCCTGGTTCTGGAACCGTGCCCCGCCCCTTCCGTTCTCCAGGCCCCGAACGTTCAATGGATACGGGCGAACAGCCGTGTATAGTTTATGATAATCGAAACGAGGTGAATCGGTGGCGTAAAAAGGGGGGTGCGCGGGATACTCGATCGGCGGATCGATGTCACCGAATCGACGCGCGTTTTATAATGTGCTGGCAGTCTGTTCGATCACGTAAACGAATCTACTCTCGTTTGTCGATATTAAATCTGGTACGACAAAAAAAAACAACTCGCGTAGAATCACACGTTTTTAGGGAAGCAGTCGCACACCCCCTTTCGATCGTAAGTACCCCCGCCGCGTCGAAGGAAGATTTCATTTCGCAAAACACGAAACGTTTTTACGCTCCGCGGACACACGCTCCGTTGAACAATTAATATTCTGTGCATCGTTATTTACATATTCGTACGCATCGTTTCACTCGTCGCTCATTCGCACGCACATCGAAATTAATAAAAGACCTCCATAATCGTATTTATATATATAATTATGTATAGCTTTAATCTTTATGTATAATCAGTTTCACAACTCCCTCCCTCTTGTTTTCTTTTCACCCTTACCCCCTTCCTCTCCCTCTCTCTCTCTTTCTTTCTCTCTCACCTATACAGACGTCTAAGAATTAAAATATTTCCACTCGGATAGCTAGGTACGTACGTTCGATTTTTTTTTTCTTTTGGTTTGTCAAGGGGGTGGGATTGAAACTTACGATTACGGGGAAGGGGGCGGTGGTTTTTCCATCCCGTCCGGGTCTGCCCTGGATCCGTGGAGGGATTCACCATTGTATATAATCACTATGTAAAACACCTTTTTATTTTTACTTTTTCACTTGTTCTCAACGATCTACGCACGATATCCATAGCGAAGTAAATGCGAAATGTCCATGTATCCCTTCCTTTTTTTTTTCTGTTTCTGTTCTGTGTTCGAGATAGTCCTTAAACGCTAATCGATAGTTGTAATAATAATTATCTCTCGTAAATGGCGCGTACGCGTGTGTATGTTTATGTATGTATAATATGCGTGGTGACAATGTGTGTGGGTACGAGACTCTCTACCTGTACGTCTTACAGTTTTCGTTCTCTTGGTAATCGTCTTAGTCTCCATCTCTGTTTCGCCATCTTAAAACTCCATTTCCGATATCTCTTTTTCCCCCCCTTACCTCTTATAATCTTTTACCCTCGCGATAAAATCTACATCCGTGGTTCATCATTTTCCTTTCTCCGTCCTGGAACGAACATTCCCTCGAGCGTGTCCCCCCTGATGTTTAAAAGAGAAAATCGAGAGACAAAGAAAAAGAAATTCGTAATCCACCCTCTATACACAATGATCCTCGTCGTCTCGTTACACGATAATCATTCCATCCTGTCCATTCATCTTTCTCCGTCGTCGTCGCCTCACGCCTGATCCTCCCTCTTTTTCTAACTTTCTTTTCTGCTTTTTCCCCCACTTCTTCATATTCCATGGTTCGTATTTTTATTGACGCTGTTCATCATCCGCCCCCCCCCCTCGGAGCGTGAATGTCGCAACAACGATGCGTCTGTCTCTCTCTGTGTGTGTGTATGTGTGTGTCGATAAAAGATTCTAAAAAAGTTAGAAACGATTTTTGTACTCTGCGGGCACACGCAACGAGAAAGAACCGCGGAATAATTTTCTCCACCCTTCGATCGATCTTCCGTTCCCCCCCCCCCATTTCCGGTGGAATACTCGCAACCTGAACGAAAGGGACCGTCCGCGAGAGACATAAAAAATTCCGTCCTCTCGACGTTTTGCTTGGAAACGCGGCGGCGCAACGAAACTTACTACCCTGTTCCTGCATCGAGTCGCTTCTTCCTTCATCTCCCACATTTTTTTTTTGTTTGAAACGAGAAAGACACATGTCACGAGCTTTTTGTATTCGAACTAAAGTTAATGAACGGAACGTTGCTCGTTCTTTAACGAGGCGACTTACTCCTCGTGGCGCCCGTTCAAACTTCGTTCTATAAAAAGAGAAACGATTTTTCTCTTTTTCCGTCACGGAACAAATTCTACGGACTCGCGTGTCTCGTTGGTCCAACGATCGATAACCGATCGCAATGGCGCGAAGAGCGAACCGATGTTCTCGATGCACGATGGGGCGCTGATTGGGGGGTCGGGTGTTCGCGTATATAATATATAAAAGTAGAAAATTTGGCGGCAGTATTGTAGAGATCGTAAAATTGTTGGAAACACGGTGAAAGGAAATGGGCCCTGGGTTCCATGAATTGGCATCGTATTAGCGATATTTTGGTCTTTGTGCTTCGTCGTCCTGACGGATCGGCCGGGTCCGTCATTCCCCCCGTCGCCTCGACTCGAAATTTCGTCGGCGATCGTCGAGATCGACCCTTTTCCTGGTCCTGGTGGTTACTCCTTTCACTTACCGATCAAGGAATCAACGTTCAAGCTGCTTACAAGCAAAGAGAACCAAACGTAACGCGTGAGAAAACAAAAACACGAGAAAAACAATAACGACGCTTCGCGATCCTCTCTGGCTTCGCCTGTTTACCATCCTCTCGCGAGCATTCGACCTCGAGGACGCAGAGTACAACGATTCTCTCGATACACGCGGCTACTCGGGTCCGCCGAGTAACAAGCAACGAGGTTGGACCGTGTTTCTGTGGTCCTGGAAAGCCCACGATCAAAACCATCGTACAGAGGTAATCGAATACCTCGAGAGAATACCATAGACACCTGCGTCATTCGCACGATCCCTCGACCGATCGTCGATCGAGTTCCGTCCCCGTTCTCTCCTTCGACGAACCGTCGAATCAGCTTCGGTCTCGATCTTCCTGAACCCCGACTCGAGAATGTCCTCGCCGAGACGTTTCAGCGGATAATCGCGAGCAGCCCCAAGATATGTCCGATACCGAACAACAGCTCGTAATTGTTCGAGACCTCGACGGCCCCACCCTTACCTGTTCGGCAGTCTCCACGCTGTTCAACGGAGATACGGGATCGATTCGATGCGACAAACGTCGAGATTGGTCGCAGCCCCGAAGTCGACCGTCTGGGTGTCCAGTCAGGATTCTAGTTCGAGGGGGCGACCACGTCACTCTCGCTTCCGGTCTCTTTCGATTCCGCGGGCGGACGAACGACGATCGCTCCGGGCCGCTGCATCCCGACCGACAGATGTGGTCATCTGTCCGTGATGTTTACTCGAGACGCGCTTTGTAGCTAGTCTTCCAGATCTCCGCGAACGTGACCGCGCTGTGGAACCTATGGAAGATGCAGAGCGGCAGGGTGACCCTCTGCACGATGGCCCAGGCGAGGAACCCGTAGAAATCTAGCTGGACCGGGTTCGCCATCACTTTCTGCGACTCGAACGTGTAGATCACCCACATGGTCAGATTGCAGATCAGCAAAAAGGTGACCACCTGACGGCCAGGCTTGCTACGGTCGTGTTCCGGCAGATGGACCCGCCGACGTGACACGTCCGCGATGAACAACATCTGTAGGATCACGTGCGCCACCGACAGAAGACCGGTCAGCATCACCAGAAGATTCGGCTCGTGGGTGAACGCGGCCAGAGAGCCAGCGATCACGCTGAACACCGCGTAGATGAACAGACCGAAGCCCGACACACGCAGCAAGATGTCGTTCAGATCGCTCTGCTCCTCCGCCTTGAATTTCAAGCTCTGGACCCGTATGAAGCCGACGATAATGGCGATGATCGAGAGGATCATCAGAACGCAGTGGGACACGTCCGCCAGGTATATGGCGATCAGACCGAAGTCTGGATGATGGATCAGCACGAAGAAGAGGATCAGGCAGATCAGTGAACCGACCAGCAGCAGCAGGCCGAAGAACAGTCCTTTGCTCGCTCCTACACAGTCCACCCTTGTGTGACCTGGTTTTCGCGTTGAGAGGTGGTCTTTAGTGGGTGGGTCTCGGCTAATGCATCCGAGGCTACTTCAGAGCGATCGTGAAACGCGATTGCTTGCACCTGGGTGACGAGTAGCCCCAATGCCGTGCAGGGGAGGGGTATGGTTCAGGTGACGTGAGATGCGACGTTACCAGAAATTATTGCAATTGTTGGCAATACCGTTTGAAATATGCCTGAGAAGCTAAATATCGTTTCTTGCGATGCCAGGATGATTTTGAAGAATCGTATACTTGGAAGGAATCATGTATATCAGTGGTGACCAACATTTTACATACAATGAACCAAATTTTTTATATACCAGTTCAGATGCGCTATACAACTCAAGCACCTTTTCTAGATTCTTACGTTCATGGTCGGGGTTGGTAAATAGGGATAGGGGTAGGGTCTGCTTCGCTTAGGGAAGGAAATTTTAGGATGAAATGCTCCACGTTTGGCACATGCACCATACGTTGGCCACTCCTGATGTATATGATGGAGCAGTAAACCCAGTGGGGTCTCTATAGCGATTTTTTTTTAAGGCTCTGTTTAGCTAGGGTCTTTGGGTACAAGACAGTATTAAGTATATAAAAAATTTTCCAACGTAAATTAAAAGAGAAACTAATTTAGAAGAGGCATGATTTACAAAATAATGGTCGAATTGTCAGTACCTGCTGTCATGATACTCTTAGCTTCGTGACTCAATCCTCTTTATAAACTTTGCTCGAAACCCATTGAGTTTCTTTCTGAATATACGATCACCTCCAAGTATACCACTTCTGTCTGCAGCAATTTTTGGTAAAGCACACTTGTGCTACGTGATATGGAGTATTCAAGGTTCGATGCATCTTGAACAATACTACAGATATAAGAAAGCATTTACCTGCATGGGCTAAAGCAACGGCTCTTCGAGAGAGCATAGCTTCCAAGCGGCGTTCAAGATCGGCCTCCATCTGATGCGGCCAACGTGGATGACGACCAATATGCTTCCACATCACGTAAATCACTGCAGCCCCGATCAAGCTGTACTCGATTATGAAGGGGAACAGATAAGGCTCTGCGTCTTGGACGATGGTACCCATGATGTTGACACGACCGCAAGAATTGGACGCGATCTCCTCGTCCGTCAACGCCTCGGCGATGATTCCGAAGTTTTGGCTCCAGACTTCGCTGCTGTTTGTGCGATTGTTCATGTCGAAGATTTGGTGGATCTAGTTTGAAATTAATATACTTTTCAGAATTTCGATCGATCAATCTCGTTGTCGAAGAAATATCAGACAGGAAATAATACTACGATCAGATTGTGCCGATTTTGATCCCATATATAGGGTACACTGCATGTAATATGGAACACCCCAGATTTCGACATATAAGAACCTAGGGTTTGAGGTTTTATTAGATTATACGATTATAAAATATTGTGATGATTCTAGAGTTTTATTTAGAAAATCTGTTGGTGTTCTATATTAGATAACCATTTCTTAGAGTCGCCAATTCGATGTTTTTTACTTTTTATAACACTTTGTGAACCCCCGTGGTCTTTTATAGTACGAGCAATATTTCGCACTCAAATATCTCCGAAATGAAAAGTTTGTTCTTAAAAAGGCTTTTTAGCATTGAACCTTAAAAACTATGGAGAGACTCTGGACAGAATCCAATAAAAATAACGGGACTCACAGAGGGTTAACCATAATTTCAAAAGATTTAAACTTTTACATATGAATATTTATTAATTCGACCCTTGTGTAGGCAACTAAAATATTTACGGTTACTGAGCAATCGGAATACCCCCATTCTGACAGATTAGATAAACATAGAGAATTTTATTTTTAATATTTTTCCGAAACTCTTAGTTTCCCCCTCCTATCATATACCAAGTGCAATTTTATACAAGATCATACGAAGTTGTGAAAGGAAATTTATGAATGGGTACTCGGGAACGGGTTGCCTACACAAGGGTTAAAAATTTAATATCATCATAAGAATTTCCTTAACCTTTAATTCCCCGAAATTTATAAACGAGTACTCGGGAACTGGTTGCCTACACAAGGGTTAAAAATGTAATATTATCATAAAAATTTCCTGAACCTTTAACTCTCCCCGAAATTTATAAATGAGTACTCGGGAATTGGTTGCCTACACAAGGTTTAAAAATTTAATATCATCTAAAGAATTTCCTGAACCCTGAATTCTCCCCGAAAACCTTATCCGTATAAATTAATACGATGCTTAGAATCTCCTTCCTTCTACAGCCTCACACCTAAATTGCTTTCCTCTGTAACGAGCACAAGCCCTTTACCTCTTCTTTGCTGTCTGCCTGCGGTGCATCAAACAGATCCACGAAGAAAGAAGAGAAGGTTGTCGAAGGGGTGGTGCTGGTAGTGGTGGTTGTTGTTGTGGTGGTGGTTGTAGACATGGTGGTCCTCTCCTCGGTGGTGGTTTTCGGTGTCAGCGTAGTCAAGAGAGTGGACAGGGTGGTCGCAGCGGTGCTCGTCAAATTGGGCAGAGGCGCCGACGTGGAAGCCGTTGTTGAGGACGGGGTGTTCCAGCCGGTTGTGGTGGTCGTTGTCGGTGTGGTGACAGCCCTCGCCACCGACCTCGCCGTTGTTCTCATCACCCGTCCCAACGAGGCAGCGGTCGTGCTCGCGACCGTCGACGCGGCGGAGGTCGACGCCCTGGTGGCGGTCAATGGAGCCTCTCGCAATAAGGCCACGTCTCTGGGCGCGGTACCCAAAATGGCCCCTGCGTTTCGCATCGAGTGTTGCTTGATACTCTCTGAAAGTGTTTTATTGTGACTTGAACTTGGAATATTCTGTCTTTTTATTTTTCATTGACACTTTAACCCTCCGTCCCTTATCTTCCCAACTTAATTTCTCCCTAGGTGTTAAATTCACCCAGTGGCAAAAATTAATATAATGAAGTGATGAATAGTTAAATTAGTTAATTTTTTAAAGCAAAAATCACGAAGTCTCAGCTTAATTTATTTACACATGACAGAATAATGATGAGGGTTACCGAGAACTGTTTGGATATATAACTTCAGTGGGTAGGTACCCTATTGTCATATCCCTGTTGGGCGGGATTAGAATACACCAACAGTATCTCCTGCTTGTCGTATGAGGCGACTAAAAGGGGAATGCGGGACGTCTTTTCACCTCAGTCGGAGGTGAAACGGCGTCAAATCTTTATCGGGAGACATATCGGAGACCGGTCATCCCCCCCCGAAGTCTTTCTGGGGCGACGCTGTGGGTTAGGACGGTGGGATTTAAAAAAAAAAAAAATAAGTAATTGAGTTATTTACTCTATATACATATAAATGCATAGTGAAAACTCTGAATAATGAAAGATAATGAAATATGTAAAATTTTCCAAACAATTTGTTTGTCTGAGCCATTACGAGTTTAATTATCGTCAAAAGTTGTATCGTATGTTTATCATGTCGTCACAAAAATATATTAAGTGACAAAGGAAACGCATAAAATCTAATTTGATAAAAGTTTTCAAAATAATCCTGAATCGTATAGTTTCTATCCTTCAGTAGAACCGGTTGTATTCTCATAAAAGTATTATTAACATCGTATGGTCAACAGAATTGGATACGAACCAAGTATACCGGCCTCGAACTGTCCCATCTTCTGGTGATGCTTCGTGATCTCCTTGATGCTCTCCAGGACGAGGGTGCGAATCCAGACGCAGAGATTAGTGGCGACGACGTGCATCAGACCGAAACGCGCGATCACTTTGAAGCGATGGATGTTCAGCTAAGAAAATGAATGATCAAACTACCCGCTCGGGAGACCTTCCGGATGAGTAGTGTTGCCCCTCTTCAGGGGTCAAGTACCTACCCTCGAGTTCATGAAGATGAAATACATTTGCATGAAAGTGAAGATCATCTGGAGAAGCGGGTTGACGCCCTGGAGGATCTGGTAACACGGTGACGTGGGCGGTACCTCGAAGAATGTACCAAATTCCAGACCGTTGTAAACCATTGTACCCAGACCAAAAGCTGCGAAAGAAATTAAGCAACGATGCAAAATTCTCCCCTGTTGCGTATAACCACGCGAAAAGGTCCAAGGGTATACCTATCGCTCCGATTCTGAGGAAGAAGCTTCCGTGGCTCTGATCGTTCTGCGACGTCTTCCGCTTCCGAAGAGCCCGAGTGGCCACTCCAGCCTCGACATCGGCCGCATCCTAAATCAGTTTTTCCCCATCTCAGACCGAGCGTCGTCGTTAATATTTTAATTTTTTCTTTACCATAGCTCAAGCACCGTGAAATTGCGCGAGTCGAACTAATTTCGGTAATTGCTCGCCGTCTCTACGCGCGAAAAGGCTGCGGGGGTGGAGCTTTAATGAGGACGAAAACTGTCGAGTTTCAGTTCCGGAGTGGATTCACGTGATAATGAATGGTAGGACGGCAGCGCGTGCCTTCTAGTAGATGGTCGATGACGACGACGGGTAACCCACTTACGTCAGCACCGAAAGTGCCTCTCTTAAAATCGCATCATCGGCTCGATATTCGTTTCGCTGAACCGAAATACACTTCACGGACAACATGGTTCGCGAGAATAAGATCACACTGGTTGGAGATAAACTCGTAGTACAACTAAACAACGGGATGGTTGTTTACGAATAAATAACTTGAACGTCTGGAGTGAAGTCTTTGCAGACGGAGCTTTTTTTCTGAGATTAATAGTGGTATCAATTTGTTGGGTATATATGCTGCTGAATAAGCATCGACTAACAAGGGAACTTTGTTAGAAAAGGGAAAGAAGATAATGTATGAAAGGAAGTCTGGAGGGGACTTCGATAGAAGCATCGGGCAATGTTTCGTTTAGGCTGACATTCGGTTCTTCGGGGTTGAACGACCCCTTAAATGTTAATATGTGTGTTTTAGATTTTTCTGTATATCTCGAAAACTATACTAGGTATGGAACAAATATTGCAAGGGAAATTTAATGGGTTCTCAATTTCTATAAAACAGCCCAATGAAATTGTTAAAAATTTGCTTGTTTATTCATTTATTTATTTCAATGAACATTTATTAATAATTTGATTACAGATTTTTATAGAGCATAAAAAGCTATTAGATTTCCATTGCAACAGTTTTTGGATATCTACTATAGTTTTCAAGGTATACGAGAAAATAGAAAAAGACACATTAACATTTATAGGGTGATTTCACCCTGAATAACCGAATATCATGAGAATCGAAAAATTGTTCAATGCTTGTGTTAGGGTTCCCTACAAGTCTGCAGAGTTTAAAAAAAAATCGGAACTTTCGGAATAGGTACTGAAATTCTCTTGTAAGGTGTCTGATCACTACTTGCAGTTTCTACTTAGTCCACGATCGACTGCGTGCGTGTCAGATAAATTCTGAAATTTGTTTTTTTTTTAAAAAAAAAAGCGTACTTGACACTTTCAATTATTTGGCTCCCGTCCAGTCTGGCTACAATTTCATTCCTAACCAATATAGTAGTCTCTAGGAAATGTAGAACTATTTTTCGTACAGTTTTTGTGACTTTATCCTCTACGATCCAAAAATAAAATTTCAAATACCCCTATGAAACGAGTGATCTGCAGTTAAGGGTTAATCTCACCTAGGTCTACCTGCCAGAAAGAACATAACGCCTAATGACGACTTCAAGACGGCTTAAAGGCGCCCTAGACCTAAAATAGCCGTAAAATGGGCGTCTTCAAGGCATCATCTGCTCTCTTGGCTATGTTCTCCAATCTCTAAGCTAATCAAAAAGACGTACCTGGTATTCCTTCTTATTCTTCGCGGCCTTCTGCTCCTTGTCCTTCTTGTCCTTCTTCTTGTTCTTGTCCTTGGGCTCTTTGGGCGGTTTCGGTGGCCTAGGCGGCGGTGGGGGTGTGTCGCTACCCCTTGCGCACCAGGTGCTCTCTTGCAGCAGGAAGCAAAACACGTACAGCAAGAACAGGATGCTAACGCCGTACAGGTACGTGAAGAAGCCCTCGTAGTAGTAGAGCGGCAGCTTGTGCGTGACCACCTCGCTTATCACGTAAGCGATGCACACAACCACGAGCAGTTTCGCGTAGATGAAGCTCATGATAATGAACAACGACGTCCTGCAATCGAAAGAAACGAACTATAAAACTTCTTTTCACGAGCAAACGAATCACCAGTGCGCCAATTGTCCAACGATCCTCTCGTAAAATTAACCATACGTTGGATTCCTCACCGTGATTTCCGTACAATTTTGACTCTGCTACCGTGCTTGTACGCACACACGCCTCTGTTCACATTGTTCTCCATAAAAGGCACAATTTCCACCTCCATTCTGAATTCTCCTTTCCACAGACTATACAAATACCCTTCTAAACCATCGCGTGACACGAAGTACTACGTTAAATGTTGTCCTATCCCTCCGTAACTGTTCGTTCGACACGACTACGGATCACAAGAGCCGACGTCGAGGTTCGATTGTTCACAGGCGTAGACTGGCGCGCGTTGGACGGGTCTATCCAGCACCATGCTATTTTCGATGTCGAATCGCAGAGAAGAAACTCCTCGATTTTTCCACGCTGTCTTCTCTCGATTCGACTGTCCGCTAATTTTAATTACACTTCTGTACCCAGCCAGACATTCCTCCACTATCCCCCCCCCCACGAGGAACCTCTCTGAATAACTGGGGGGACGCGATTGAAATCGGTTAGGAGCTTCGGGACGAGGATCGGTTAACGCTTCGACGTCTCGAGCGGAACGAACGGGCTGAACGGTCTTCCGTCGCACCGTTGCTTTTTTCCTCGTTAAAGGTTAGGTCGCGGAATCGATAATTCGCCGTCAGGGGGGATAGAGCGCGAGTCGCGTTACGCGATCTCGTCCCGGCAATTAATCGCGCGTGGGTTCCGTTTCTTTTTTTCACCGTGCGATTGAATGAGGGGAACAGAACGCTAAAAAGAGACACAGGAGTGGAGGGAAAAGAAATTTGTTTCAAAATCGGCGGGAGCTACAGCGTCGCGACGTCTGCACACGGGAACATCGGGGGCTTAGAAACGGTATGGTGCATCTTCGTCAAGAAGGGCTTAACCACCCTTTGTCACGCTGGCATTTCAGGGGTTGGGGCGCAGACTTTATTGTGTTCCGCACGAGCCTGTACACTCTTGTCAGGCATTTTTTTTCTCTCTCTCTTTCTCGATTCGATGATTATCCCTGGCTGGATACGGGGATCGTGATATTTAGCAAGACGAGGTATTTTTCTGTCGTGTGTGGTATTATCGTGCTGTAACCGTTGGTATTTCGACTTCCTGTTGTACGATCGAACGGCCTTTTTCACGATTTTACGGTCACTGTGCTGTATGATCGATTCATTTTTTTTATTTGACGATGAGAGTGGTTATCGAAGGGTTCGTTTTTAACATTGGAATTACGAGCGTTGAATTTACACTGAATTAAACTGCAAAATATATTAATATCTATACGATATAAGGTAGAATAGCACAACTGTTGTGTAATGTAAAATATATAATAAATTAAAGGTCGACACGAGTACCAACGGAAGTTTCGTTGTGATTTCATATGTTCATGCATTTACAGCAAATTGTAATATGCAAAATGCAGTAAAATAAAGACTAATAAAATTCAATAATATTTATATATTATTATCAATATTTTAAGGCATCTAGTAAAGAAAATAAACTATGTCATTTTCACGTTTATGAAATAACATCTAAGGTCGTGAATTTGCATAAACATCCTCAGTGTACTGATTTAATATTCGATAAGCGTCCTAATCTTTCCAAACGAGAGTGTACAACCAAGCACAACTAACAACTTAAATCCGTATTTCCCAGTTAACAAGTTAACCCTCTACTTCTTCCTGTTATCAGGATATATAATTCAGATCATCCCCCCAAGCTCCCCCGCTATCTCCATTCACTGCTCCCCAGCGGACAAACAATTTCCTCGGATTAACGTGAGAACTTCGAAACTTCGTTCGCCCAGAGATATATTTGTGGATGGTCGGTAAACAACGCCAGAACGGCCAAAGCAAGGGCAAACCCAAGGGACCGCGAGTTTCCGACAGTTTTCGCGGAGACAGGAAAAAAAAAATCGCCGGCGGCACAGCGGCGTCGTCGCCCGATATGGCCATTTTTCCTTCGTCTCTGAAGAAGTAAAACGGCGAGAGGTGGGAAACACCGAGCGGATAGCACAGACTCCGTGGGCGAACCAGGCTGCTCGGTCGATATTTCGAAGTACCTACTTTCAGCCGTTGGTCTTTCTCTCTGTACCTGTCCCTCTTCTGTGCCCACCCCACGTCGGTGTTCTCTCTCGTCGAATTTCGCTTCACCCCGTCCAATCACGCCGTATTCTTTCCCCTCCCTATCGAGGCGACGGTTTTAACCATGGGAAGCTACCGTGGTTATCGATCGAGTCGCATCGTCGTGAAATTATAAACTTCGAGATCCACTCGCGATTTGTAGCTTTTAGTTAGAGACGCTACCGATCGAGGTCGCTGTTTTTCGTCACTTTTTCTCTCCAGTCCTATCAGTTCCCGAGTCTATTTCAGCGACAGGACAAGTTTCACTGGGAAATTCGTTTCCGAATGATTCAGACAGAACCACGTTGTTTTCGCCCCGTTATTTTCGTCACCTAGCGAACAGTTTGCTTGCTTTTCACGAGCGTTTCGGGTTTCTCGAAACGGAGAACAGCGGCATGTGCTGTCGCGTTCACGAGGCCCGTAATACTGTCCTGTCTCAGCGTGGTCTAGACCCGAACGGAGCTTTGCTTTCAGCCTGTGTTAATGCAATTGCGACTCCGACACTGTGTAATTCGAGAAGGTATCGCTTGGCCGTGTTCGCTGCGTGTGTACTGGATGGCGTATCACTGTCATACTTCTTCGCCACTCGGTCTATATTAATAAATTGTAAATCTCCGGTGAAACTGGTTCCCGTCATTATCGCGCGATCGATCCTGGTCACCCTGAACGAGGTCTTTTTCTTTTATGCCTCTCCGCACGGTCAAATTGATTAGGACGGAAAACAGAGCGGCCAGGGGATCATTCTCCTCGGTCCTGTTACATGCCATACCTGTTCTGATACCAGACAGAATTTACACTCAGCCGGAGATACCGAAAGATTGTGGTCGTTCCAGAAACTACAGAGTAATGTAGATCAATATTTTATGTACAGTAAATTATACCGTCATTATACGGCGGATGTTTATGGAGATATCGATTTTTATGGATTATTTTGCGGAAGCTTGAACCGAATAGGGTAACTGTAATTTGTGTTTCTGTCGATTCCTAAATAAATTACAAGTCTGATTGAAAAGCCAAAATTTTGCATGCTATAAATTCATGCAAAACTTTTTCATTCGAGACTTTGTTTTCGAGTAAATCGACATGGAAAATCTGCTTGACGCAAGCAATTGAGTAGGGCTTGGTTAGCGTGTCTGTTCATTGCATTCCGTTTCTACTTACACGACCATGACGGATACACGCGTTTCAGATTGACTTTCAAAGTCGATTCTCTCGAGAATGCCATTATAAATAAGAAAGTTTTATTTTATATTTTCGACTTATTTTTTCACGTAGAATCACCATACCCGGTTTCATGCCTCGTATATAGAGGGTGGTTTTTTATTAGAGATACAGATAAGGTTGTGGTACTAAAAAATAAGTCGAAAGTCCAAAGTGAGATTAGAACCTAAACTTTGTTGATTGCACAACTAACAACAACCATTCAACAATTTAACACCCCAAAATCACCCTGCACAATCGTTCATAAATAAAATCACTGTTAACACATACATTAATTTTACCTTGTTCTCGTGTGTTTCCGAAAATTATTTGCATACGCAATGTAAATTTTAACATTTCTTCTACAAAGAAATTCCATGTACCCAAAGATCAAAGGGGGCTCAAAACTATTGAACCGCAATGTAGTTATACAGGGTGGACCACGAAAAGTCAACAGCTCAGATTATTCTACAGCTAGCTGTTTGGTCGAAATTTTTTTTTGTTAATATAAAATGATTTCAAGAGCATTGAGACGAGTGTACCAAATTTTCTATCAATCCCCTCTTCCAAAAATTTGAAGATCACCTTCACTTACTATAATTTCTTTGAAAAAACAAATTATTTGTTACAACGCGTACTAAATTACGTATTAAAAGCTAGGCTAGAAAATAATAGGTTTATCTACAAAAAATTGAAGGTGCCTTGAAAGGTCGGAAAAAAAGGGTCCACAAAAACTTTGGTACAACATCGTGAATCACGTTATATTAGTTAAAAAAATGTTCCACCGAACAACTAACAATATAATAATCTAAGCTGATCGAGTTCCGTGTTCCACCCAGTACATCCAGTTTCCATCACACTTTCAGAGACGAAATCTCTAAAAAAAAAGCCCGAAGAAAATGTTGCTATCCATGTCAGCGGGCAGCGTAAGCCAAGACGGGCCGAGCCGAAAGTAAAGGGGATCAGCATAGACGGTCCCCCTCGTTACGTTTCACGCTCGCGTTCATCAATTTCCACGAGGCGGAAGAAGAAGAAAAAAAAAAGGTGTCGTCGCGTCCCAGGGTGAATGCTCGCCGGCCGTCGCTCGATATATCGAAAATATACCGGCGCGGCGGGCGTAATATACCCTCGACGACACGAAACACGTTCGCGCTCCATTTCCTCGATTCTTTTCCTCGGGAATGATTTCCATTCGTTCGTGGCCGCAACCTCGGTCGGTCGGTCGGTCGGTCGGGGTATTTCTTTCAGCACGATGCACGTGGGGAGGGGGGAATCCGCGCAGAGACCGCGTGTATGTACGTGCGCGAGTGCATATCTCGGGGGCTGCGATATAATGCACACTAGACGCAAGACGCTTCGTAGCCGCGACGACTAACGAAGTGCGTCGCGAATGGAAACGCAGACGAAACCACCTCGCCCTTCCCTCTTCACTTCGCCGCTCCACCCCCTCCCCTCTCCGCCGTCCCCGTTACGGATCGGACATAAAAGGTGTCCCGTAAAAAGGCCGGTCTAGTGAAGACGGTAGGTATTCTATGGCATACGTAGAATAGGGGTTTTTCGAGAGAAGAGCCTCCGTTCGTATTTCCCTTCTCTGGTATTTTTGTATGC